CACCTGAGGGGAAAAAGAAAAAAAAACCAAACTAAAAATCATCAGTACAGTTCTGAAGGAACCACAGAAAACCCCACAGTTTCCACAGGCTAACATACAGTCAAGCTCAAATGGAAGAACTGTTAAGAGTATTATCACACACTATTGCCTGTATTTTCAATGCATAAATAAAGGCCTACTTGACCAGCAAAGCAGAAGGACAAGCAGTCTGTAACAAAGTATACTCAACTTCATGGGCATACTACTCTACTTCTTCCAAGCATGTTCTACTAGGTGCCTAGAGAAGCACTTGTGCAGATACATACTGAAGAGCTTTATTTGCAGTGACAGAAATGGATTCAGAGATAGAAGCAACTCACAGACTGAAGACCTTTCCTCAGAGGGACACTATGTTCCTTGCACGTGTACTTGCCACGTTTCCCTTCTTCCTCTCCTCATACCACATCTCCCCCCCCCCCAAGAGACTGCTAAAAATCATTACACAAATAAGAGAAAGCATATGAGTGCACTTTATGGTACTTGTTTTATAAAATTCAAAAAAACCCCTTCCATTAGGAAAATATTAGTACTGCCAAGTCAAGCATCCAGAACCAAAAAAGACACAATTAAATTTTTCTGTGCAACCTTAATTTGCTCCCTCTTTACCCCTTGCTGTCAGGGCTTGCAAGCAGGCCACAACACAACCTTCAGCTAGCTGAGCAACACACTGTTTATTCCACCCCACTGCAGGACTCTGGTGACCCACCACATTTTTACATTGAGACTGCCGAAGTTCATTTTTCAGAAAATAAAGGAGAGAGATATCTACATGCAGGAGTTGGTTATGAATGGTTTACCAACATCTGAGTGAAACTGTGTCAGGAATCAAAAAAAAAAACAGATATATTCTTGAGTGATCACAAGGCTCTCTCCCACAGGTAGTGCACAACTAGGCCACAGTTGCTCTCCGAGACACAAGTCTCCTTGGAGCAGCATCAGTGCACTGTTTCACACTCCTCCCTCTCCCAAAGAGGAGCGATGAGGGAGCAAGAGCCCAAAATATTCCTACATTCAAGAAAGTTATGGGCAAAACTTCGCAGTCTTCTCCCAAGCTTGGTTACATTCCTCCCTTTTTGAAGCTCTCTCTCCAAAGCACATCACAAAGAAGAAAACATGATTCTTGTTTACTAGCAGATTACACACATCTTCTCTGCGTTTAAGAACTGTGCGCTCTCAAATTTTTCTACTTGACGCAGCTTTAATTATGTCAGTCATCTTAAATGGGTCACAGATACAACAAGTCTGTCCTCCCAGTTACGTTCCCTTCCACTTTCTCAGTTCAGTGAGATGGCATAAAACTCTTTGGAAATTAGTCACCCTTAAGACAGATGTATCTGTGAATCACAAAACCTAGCTAGCAAATCAACAGATAGAGCTCTATTAGATGCTTGCTTACCACAACTAAACACAAAGTCTGACAAAAACAGAGTTGTTTTACCTTTCCCCCACAATTACAACAGGAAAACCAACTGACCTACCCTAGCTGCATACTCATCGGAGTCCGTGAATGAAGCTCGCTATAGCACTGTGCGGTTACAGACATCCCAACTGAAAAGGGTTCATTCCTCCTTCTAGATCACAGCAAGGTAGTGCATGATGCACAGTTCAGATCCATAAACTAAAGAGTCCAAGCATCTTTTTGTGGAAGTAATCCAAGAGGCAACAGAGATAAGCACTTCCTATCACTATATAGTTCAGATCCACCAGCTGCTAATGCTTTTGAGCATGCCTTGCACTTAGTTTCCATGGCCCAGCTGTACATCACATGTGGAGAGCTTCAAACTTCATTTTAAGCTTCTAATGAAAATGAACTGCATTTACACAGCACTGTCAGAATGCAAATCAGTTATGTATTTTGTGCCAAACAAAATTATCACATCAACAGATCTATTGATGCAATGAGATATGGTACAAAAAGCCTCAGATCCTCTCTCTTCAGTATTATCTTTAAAATAAGGGTAAATAAACCACAAAAAAGTATGATGTTCAAACAGCAAGAAATATGAAATCCACAAAAAGAATTCCAAAGTTTAGATTTAAGCACTGTCCAGAAGCCAGCAGATTAGTACTAGCTGACCTCAAGGTACTCACTCAGGCAATCCTTCATATGGACTAACAAGTCAACACCTGTTATGGGTGGTAAACTGTGGTCAACATTCAAGCTTACGTCTATTACTTTTCATGCCTACTAAAGCAGATTAACCATTAAAGTAAAAGCTTAAACTCCTAATTGCTTCAAAAAAAATTGGTACATGCACCCCCCTCCCCCTATTTCTTTACATACAAGTAAAATATTTATAATAGAAAAGAACAAACAGTTCAACAACTGCTTAGTACCTAACACTTGCCAGTTGCAGCATAATTCAGCTAACAAACTTCATTAAATATCAAGTTTTCTCCTAGCCACTTCAACAGTTTTTATCACAACAAGGCATTGTTCAAAAGCAAAGAAACCTAGTCATTCCAATCCATACAAACATACATTTTGACAAAACCAGAGGAAAAAAGGTGACTATAATGATGCCACTTCTTACAAAAATACTACAGTAAATTTTTTCAACCTGTTTGTTCGGAAATGGTGTATAAGTTACTAGGTTGATAAATTAATTTATACATAAAAGATCCTATAAAATCCAACCAAATTTAAGTATTCATTGTACCAAAGATACAAATAACAATCCAATAAGCCTCAACTGGAAGGCAAAAAAAAAAAGGGAAAGAAATTTTATTTGCTAATATCCTATGATATAACCATTGTATCTTACAGTTGTTTGAATGTCATTCATCCAACTATTAAAAAAAACCACCACCACATCACATGATGTATGAAATCGTAACTTTTTCTCCAAAGAAAACCAGTTTAATTCTCCTTTGGATTAAAGTAAAGGATTTCAGAAAAACACTGCAAAACAGCTTCATGAAATTTACAGACAAGCATCCCATCGTACCTTTGACAGACTGACAGAACTGCAAACAAAAGCGAAATTCGGTCGAGTTCAATCCCAACTTTGTCCCCAAGTTTGACAGCTTGCTTCTTTATAAATAAAGCAATTAACAGCTTTCACATTAAGGATCACACTGATAACTAAGAAACCAGAAGACAGCTTCATAGGTCTATACTTCCTGTCCCTCCTTGCTGTTTCCTGCCACATAAAATACATTAAAAAAAAAAACAACCCAAAAACACAAAACCCAGTCAACTATCATTGAACTGCGTACAGATCAAGTTTAAAAGACGAATGTATTCTAAATTTGCAAATGAACAATAAGGCACCTTAAATGTCTTCCTGATTCATATGAAATTGTATTTTCTCTTGTTGAGATGCAAGAGTTATTTATAAGCCTCTGCAATATGAAATCAAACTAATTAGTTTAAAAACACAACTTTTTTTTAAATACATATACAGCATTTATGTTAAAAAAGATTTAGGAGACTAGACAGCCCACTATTTGAACAGCGAGATCTCACATCACCCTATTTATGACTATACTAGCAGCAGAAGTAATATCGCTGTACAGCTGGAATCATAAGACTAGACAAGACAGCATGACTTCAAGCTCATTTTGTATGAAATGTTCTTCAATCTCCAAATCACTTTAAGTGCAAGGCTATACAAAATTCCTCATTCCAAGAATTAGTTAAAATTCACTGTACAGATTGAGATATTCCCACGGTAAGGTCTCAAAGTCATGTAGAAAAAGACAGACCCTAATAAGTCCGTAAGTCCAACTGTCTTGTTTTTGGTTTTTTTCCTAAATTATGAACAAGTAGGTAAAGGAAATGCATTGACAATTTATAATAAAGAAGTTTCAATCATCTGCAATGTATGGAGCTGGACTTCATAATAAACTCCATACTTGACAGAAACGAGAAAAAAAAACTGCAAGACAACCCAGAAGAGAAAAATTTAAAAGGCAAAGAACTACCAAATTCACTTAGCAGGACAGAATAACACAGAGTTTGTTTTATTTAGATAGATTTCATAACAACTTCAGAAGAATTAGCAAGTATTTCTCTACTACCTTCCAGTCAGGCAATGGAGACACCACCATTAGCTGAGGAAGTGCACCTTTCTCTCTTCCTCCTACTGTTAGATTTTGGCTTCTCTCTGTGATAATTTTTCAATCACCGAATTCTCATATAAAGTATCTCTAGTGATATTCTCCGAGTGAAAATTACCAGAGTTTAGAAAATGTTTTCTAATGGTACCAAACTGAAGACACTGATACTGGAAAACGTTTCACTCTGTGAGCTACGGTTACCAGGATGAACTCTGCAATGCCGTTAACAGTGAAATAATTATTTAAGCAGTCTGAGGATCTGAGGAATTGCTATATAATTAAACTGAAAGCTTTTGACTGTACATGTCTGAGCACACATTTTTCATCACTTGACATTTTTTGGTCCATCCAAACACTGCAAAGGGAACACTGATCATTATAAACTTGCCACTTGTACATTCTGGAACTGCCAAATTCAGATCCTAGACCAGCAACAATACACCATTAGTAAACCTAAACCATCAGCCTAACATCTAATTTTCAACTTCTGAATGTCCAAATTTTCAACAATTAAAAAAAATCAATATAAAGGTTAAGACTGAACAAGTAAAGGAACAAGACATTGGGAAACCGGTTGCAACAGAAAGAAGCACTTTCTATCCAATAACAAAAGTTTCAATATGCATAAATCCTTGAAAGAAACCTTATTAAATATATTTAACATTTGATTTCACAGACAAAACAAAAATCGTTTTTATTGAGACAAATTTGTTCATGCTGGCATTTAAAATCCCGGATAAAAACAAAAAACAATGGAGTGAATGTAAGAAGTTTTATGATTAACCTTCTGGAACTTCAGTGTCAGTGTGATTGTACTTAATACCTTCTGTAAAACACTGTTCAAAACCCCTTTTTTCTTTTAGGTAAGGCTTCAGAGTATTTTTGACAAGTAAATCAATACCCTCATAAATGAATGATATGCTGAATGAAATAATCCTACATAGCTAGCATGGACGCATGCTGTGTATGCCATTAATTTACTTGTAAACACAGAACTTTCTGTTCACTGCTTTACACTTCAAAACACTGACAACCCAATCTCCCTGCACCGCCTTATGTTATATTTCAGTAACAGTAATACTGCTATTGGTCCTTGCTCTAGTGTTTTCTTCGGCTTTTGTTCTGTTTTGGGGGGTTTTGGGGGTGGTTTTTTTGGTCAAATCATTTATTTTCTAACCAGTTAAGCAGCCCACCATGCCAAATAAGGGCATTCCTAATTACACCTTAAGATGAAAGCCATGACACCTTCATACGTGTACTTCCCATTGGTAAGAATGGGAGCTCTCTCCATGAAATCCGTCAACTAGATTGTCAGAAGGGTGTTTCTTAGATCTTCATTCATTACCAAAAAGGCTGTTTGAAGAAAAGCTTAGAAAAGAATGATGCATAAAGAGAAAATTACTCAGCCCTCTTTCACTATACTGACCCGTTTAGAAGACAAAATAATATTCAGTTCGCAATCTTTTACAGTGCCACTCCAATATCAATGCTTCCAATAAACACATGTGGAAATCTTTTTCCGTACAGATCGTATGCAAAAAATACAGCCCTTTACTGCAAGCATGTACAAGAACTGTTCTGCACATGAGCATTTCATGTTCCTTTCTTCATATACCGGGAGAGGAACTGGCTTCTGACAAAGTGGATCAGCTTGGTCTCTGTGCAGAACATAGTAACGATGGTTGCTGCAAAGCACAGAGCCCCCACGCTGACGTGAATCAGCCTTGCCATCCAACCCTTATCGCAGCAGAAGAATACCTACAACAAAGGAAACAAGCAATTGCAGGAAAACCAATCAGCACAAAGTAGATTTACTGTCTCAATAAAAAATAAGGTCCAACACCTCTCTTGACTATGCTAACACCACCATCAAGCTAAGCACGGTTTTGCCACAAGCACTGATCCTACAATAAATCATCTTTAGTAGTCACAGCATTTGCTTTCTTAAGAAAATTCTGTCAGCAAAAAATGAGCATTCAGCAGATACCTGGTAAACGTGGAAGTTGTTTATTATCTGGCATGCAGAAATACGTTAACCAAGATATTAGGAAAACTCTGCTGGTGCTATTGCGTAAGTCTGCTACTTTGCAGCAACGTACTAGGCTCTTTTCTAACAAAACCCCACTGGAAATCTCCCATTCTAAAATATGAAGCTCTCCTTTCTAAGCCATAATGGATTTTCAATCTGCACATTTTTGTACATTGAAATGCTACCATCTCTGTAATAATTACTCTGCACAATTACTATCCTGTAGTCTGAATAAATGTGATAAATGTGCTCTTGGCAATTTTTGTTTCTGTTCTTGGTTTGGTTGTTTTTCTGCTATCACTTTTTTTTTTTTACAGAATTTTTAATAAGTTTCTTTGTGCTACTGCAAAATTTTAATTAAAAACTAAGGACATGGATTTATCTACAGACAGCAGAAATGTGTTAAATTTTATTTTACTTGTCAGATACACCTTCTACAGGTGGCAGAGATAACTTTGTATCAAAAATAAAATCTCTCAATATTATATCTTGCCTTGCCTGTAATGCAAGCCTTCCAGCTTATCCTCATAAGCCTTTTTTTGCTAATGGTACTTCTCTGCTTGTGGACACAGAAGTCATTTGACACTAACTTTCACAGTGAAAGTAAAATCTGAGAAAGATGCTTACCTCTGAGAAACCAGTGATTACTCCACTTATGATATAAACGAGTACCAAAAACGGTGAGGGGAGCAAGCCTGTCAAAGGTCTGTAAGTGCTTTCTTTGAAGTAATCATAGATATAGTGGATGCTGTGAGCTATTCGAATACCCATGTTAAAGCAGTTCGCAAGGATAAAGCCTATACTGCCATGCCACTGGGTCAAGAAATAAGAGATGCACAGAAATGTGAAGGACAAGGCCAGCATAACAAAATTGTACCTTTGAAAAAAAAGAAACAACTTAATGTATACAGTTACAGTATTTATTTACTAACTTTATCTTTATAGAAGTACCACCATTTATTTTCCAAAATGAGAAACAGAAATTCTCTTGCCATCTTCTAATGGAAGAAGATAAATTTGAGAGCCGAGATGTTAATAAAAAAATTCATTGAAAGAATGGAAAGTACATCAAACAAATTAAACCAAGAACTACATTATGTGAAGGAAATTCTAATTAGCTGCATACGCATTTCAGAAAGTCAAATGTAGTACCAATGATTAGTAATGTAAACTTATGAATTTTTTGCTGTTTCATTTTAGGTCATGTATTAAAGAAAAATAATGCTAAACAAGATGACACTTTACTTAGTTTGTGCTCCAAACAGTGGCTTTGAAAACAAGTTCACACTTCAAAGGAGTCATGAAAGCAGCCCTTGCTAAGTCTAAAACATAGTGTGAAAAGCAGACCTCATTGAAATTGATTTGGAAAGGCCTTGTAAGGGACAGCTGCTGCATAAGCGAAAAAAGCTTGATGGTAGCACTGGGAAGGCAACCAGGCTTCAAAGTCAATAACCCAGGATGAACACAGAATCAAGAAATAATCCAGGCTGGAAGGGATCTCAGGAAGTCATCTAGTCCAACCTCCTACTTAAAGTAGATAAACCACTGAATTCAGACCCATAATTTAGATCATTCAGAAGTGTACCTGATATACAGGAACTGTACACAAAAAATTTTAGCAGTTGCAAAATTTTAATGAGTTTTAAGTGATAGCCTGTCTTAAAAACTGTAACTTCAAACACATACATACAAAAAACAAGACTTCATATTTAAATTACTTTTCCAGTTAGTGATGTACCAAAAGCTAATTTAACAATCTTTTTATTTCTTAATTTCTGACCTTTCTACCCAAACATTTAAACATTTGCTAAAGCTTCTACATCTAAATCAACATGCAGACAGCTAAAGGAAAAGTTGGTTTTCAGTGGGGCAGGATATTTTATGCTGATTTTAAATGCACCGATCTCTTTATAAGGTCATTACAAATAAATTTTTAAGATGATCAATGTTTATCAACAAGTACAAGCATGTAAAAAAAAAAAAAGTAGTGCATATTTGCTTGCCCATCTGTTGCACCTGGCTCTGGAGAAAAGGAACACAGTCCTTGAAGTGACTGCAGAAAGAAATTTGGTCTTTGGAAAAAAAGCATTTCCGAGCACATATCCATGCAGAACAATTGTTCTGTTTACATACTGAACTCCAAGCAAACCACATGCAGATTAATTACAGGAATATTCTGGGGATAGTATTTCCTACCTGTCTACCTCCTCTTTGCACATCAAAGCAAACGTAAAACATTCCGTTACTCCATTGATAGCAAGAAATAGGACATATAACGAGTAACATCGGAGAAGATCTGGACCTAAAAAACACATTAGAATCATAAGTAGATTATTATTATTTTTTATAAAATCACATTGTTTTTACACTCACTGATACTAAGAGATAAAAGTTGTAATGTTACCACTAATAAGGGAAGCTTAAGTTCATTTGAACAAGTTTTCTGTCTAGAAATCTTGACAAGAACACAAATAAACAAGGCAAAATAAAAACAAAAATAAAACCCAAACCACCCAAGAATAGCAGTTATTATAGTAGCAGAAAAGATATCCATGAAAAAAAAGTATTTTATTAAAAGGGATTTCCTAATTAAAAATTAATATTTATCATAACCGAAATCATCTATTGTACAGGAATTTATGGAAATTAATCCAATAGTCATTATGAGCTACTAAAAGCAATAAAATGTATACTTTGAACACAACAGTAAGAAAAACAGAAAGGCTGTTCAATACATTCAAAATTGTGCTAGATAAAAAAAATATTCAGAACTTCATGGGTCAGAGATAATTTATATGTGACTTGAAAATTCTCCATTCAGCCCCTAATCTTTTTCTTGTCCTTTAGAAATTATAACACGGGGGGGGGGGGGGGGGGGGGACACCTTTTTTGTACA